GCTTTTCTCTGGCCTGTTTTCCTCCCATTTAATATCAGTATGTAATGAATAAGAAATCTGTTTCCTTTTTTGGCTGCATAAAATTCTATTGGATGAATATACCATAATTTATTTAATCTATCATTGATGAATAGTTGTTTCCTATCTTTTGCTGTTACAGTGATAACTTGGAACCTGATGTTATCATACATATTTATGCAGGGTATAGCCATAAGTTAACGTCCTAAAACTGTAATTTGCACTAAATATAGGTAAAGTCCCACTTCATTGTTTTGCTTTAGAGGGCTTGTTGGGCAGCTTCACTGATAATGCCACATCTGAGGACATTATAGCAGAATCAGTAAACTGCAAGATTACTTAGAGATACCTTTTTTCAGACAGCGATGACACTGATACTACATGTGATTATAAAATGAGGTGATTCTGCTTCTCTTTGAGAACATGCATCTCTCATACATGGAGATAAGTTTTATCTATCAGTTCATCCTGGTGTGTGATACAGATTAGGATCATATTATGGTTTGGCTTCTCCCTTGCAGTGTGATCATGGGCAAACAGCTTATTTGTCTGAAACTGTTGTATTCTCTGTAAGATCTGGACATAATACCTACCTCATAGGGCTTCCATGAGAAACAATTGCAATAATGTATGTGATGCACAGTGCTTTTCAAATTTGCCCAATAAATAGCAGACCTTAGTCCAAACATACTGCTTTTGCTCAGAATACTTTTGTTTCTTCGCAGTCACTTTTGGAACAAGTTTATGAATCATGCAAAATTTGTCATTATTCTATGGTCACGCTCTTGGTTGTTGATGAAAATCTACAGTATCCACCTTGATCATACCACCTGGCTTCCAAGATTTTATCTTAAATGACTAAATTGTTGGCAGGATGAATTAAAGCCTTAAGAATAAAGGTTTACCATCCCTGAGGGTATTCATAGTGCTACAAGCTTAGGAGTCCCTTATTATCAGTCATGATAGCATTGTTATTTGTGTGTATCTCCGAGAGTGGTTTCTTTGGGGAGGGAGGTCACTTAGATGTTAGGGGAAGGTCTCTCTATACCAGGGATGGCGAACCTATGGCATGCGTGTCAGAGGTGACACATGAACTCATTGTTTTGGTTGATTTTTCTATGTTAAATGGCATTTAAATATATAAAATAAATATCAAAAATCCAAGTCTTTGTTTTACTATGGTTGCAGATATCAAAAAATTTCTATATGTGACACGGCACCAGAGTTAAGTTAGGGTTTTTCAAAATGCTGACACGCCAAGCTCAAAAGGTTCGCCATCACTGCTCTATATTATACCTTGTTACAAAACTCATCTGGAATTAGGGCTAACCCCCTGATGGAATCATTTCTGCTGAGAGCCATCCAGCTGCTGCACAGTGAACACAGGCCAACTTAGCAGGCACTGGTCACATACCCTCTCCTTGTTTTAATTTCTTGCCACAGTGGACCCCAAGGGGCTCAGAGTTCTCAGGCAAGATCATCTTCCCTGAGACATAGGAGTCCAGACCAGCACAGACTTGAGGGTGCATTTGTGGATGGGGTGGCAGTGGTTGTGATCATGGCGCAGGAAGTTACGCTCCCCAGTGGAGGGATGGGAAGAATAGTGCAACACATGCCCTTTTTTCCCTTTAAAAATGTTCAAAAACTTCTGTTGATGTGATTTAAGAAAATTTATTGCCACCCTGGACCATAAAAGGAAGGTTACTCATAATACTACTGAAGGTTACTCACATGTGAAAAATAATACTTCAGGATTGATGTTGGGGACCTAATAAATAGATCGAACTTGAAAAGCTTATCCTTAAACTGTAAACCTCCCAAACAAGCAAAGGGAGAGAAAAACCAAAACCACTTTATTTGAAATCATCAAAAGAGGCTATAGTTTATGTTATTTTATGTATTTTAGTTACTTGATATCTTAATAGACTTTTCTTCTGATTTGGTATTTTATGCAATTAAGCAGTTAGCTGCTTGTGGTTTAAAGAAAGAATTTGGTTTCTTTTTTCTAACTCATTTTTGTGACTATAAAGTGTGGTTTTTCTGGTTGTCTGTGTGTATGGGTTCATAGAGCATATGTACATGCATGATGTTTTCATTTCCACTAAGCAGCTCCATAGACACTGCCAGTGTTTGTTTTTCTGCTGCGGTCTCCCACATTTTAATGCTGTTTCTGTTACTTCTCCCG